TTTCAGTTTTAGTGCTGGTTTCAGGTTTACTACGGCTATGTTAAAGTCACAAAACTGTATGGTGTCACTATAGTAAGACACTGACCTTTAACTGCTCTTCATATTTAATATTTGCTGTAATACTTGAGTTCGTTTGTGATTCCTATTCCCTGCATTACTTTAAAAATAGCTAGATTTGCTTTTGCTAGCTTCTATTAAAAACCTCACTCATGTTACTATTAATATCTAGCTTTACATTCCAGCATCACACAGTCCAAATGTGCCACCATCCCTGTGAAGAATCCTTCATTTTCCTTTGGTCCTTAAAAGGCTGCAGATCTGTTACGGATAGAAGCCCATTTGCTTGATTGATTATTTTAAAAAAGCAAAAAGGCATCTAACAAATTCACATAATACTCAGACATGTTTTTTTTTAGAATGAAGAAACTGCTTATGCATTTTGATTCATAAATCTTGTTTTTTTCATCTTGTACTTTCCAACACGGCAGTATTGCTAATCCAGACCCCTACATCCTCAAACACTGATACAGGGTAAGGCTATGTTTTCTGATGTCTGCCAAGTGGTGACAAAGCAAAATGAAGACCTGAGCAGTTGCAAATACTGAGAAAGAGCTGTCTAACTGAATTTAATTACTTTGATAGAGTCATAACATGACTTTTCAAGATGCTTATTCAAACGGTGAGTTCCCCTCAGCAGCAGAACAAACTAAACACCCCATATGCATATTGAAGCACTTTGTACAAACAGCACTGCAGGTCAAGAGGCTGAGTATGGAGAGAGGAAAAAAGATCCTTGGTGGAGGCTCAGGTGTGGACACAGACATCATTCTCTGTGGTCCAGGTCTGACTGCAGTGCTTGTGAGGTGAGGCTGAGGATGCAAATGACATGCACAACTCACCTTTAGCCGGTGGCTTGGCCGGTGGCTTGGCTTGCATCTCCCTCCCCCTGTCCCCCGTGGCAGAAATGGGGGGTGTCTTATTCACCGAAACAGCAGGAGCTGGGGCACACAGGCACCAGCTGAAGGGCAACGATGGACTTGGGTACTTCAATGCACTTCAATACTTCAAGCTGAAAGTTTGAGTTGAAACCCAAGATATTCACACTGTCGTTTGTGAAGAGAAGACAAAAACATTTCATTGACCTCAGAAGATGTGAGGAAATCTTATAAGTTTTATTAGGTCGTATAAAGATATGAGACATATAGTTTGGACTCTGGAAAATGTTCAGAAACAGTAATACTTTGACCCCAGTACATATGCCAGCATGGCGTGAGGCGTACATTAGGGGCTGATCCTGCAACCTCTGCGTGTCATGGACTTTGGTGGGCGCAACACTTCTTTCATTGGTGTAATTTGACTTCAAGAAAGTCACTGCTGATTTACTCCAGGCATAACTGAGATGAGGCTCAGGCCTCCAGTTTTTAAGACATTTGAAGAATATAACAAGTACATGTTATAGCTATGTATAGAGGTGTATATATGTATATGCACATGGAAATATATGTATACTATTTCTCTATATCATAGCTATATCCTTAGTTCTATAATTGGCACTACTACACTGGTGTCCAAGGAGATATGCTGATTTAACTCAGCAGGGGATCTGGCCTCTGATATTCTAGTGTCTAAGAGAGGCTTTTTTTAAAATACCTTTATTTCAAGGAAGAAAGAATTTTCCTGTGTCCCAAGAGCATAAGAAGAGGACAGTTGCTTTTCTTCAGATTTCAGACCAACATCAACTCCTCCTCGTGAATGAAGTGTGTACGTTGTATTTCCACAGCAGGATCAGTACCTCTGGTCTCTCACTAGCTAGAGTTAGTTTCGCACACTGCTGGTGTCCTTATTTTTTTCAAAAAAGCACAGAAAGCCTGGCAAGCTCCTTGTTTACCAAATACAGCAAAAGGATCAGATGGAGTCCTCTGCCTCAGTCCCTTGAATTCAGCACGTCATAACCTGTGCCAGGGGGGAAGCAGCATAAATAACCACAAACTGGGGAGAAGCAGTAGCAGTCCCCAGGGTTTCCTACTATCTCCCCCCTCCCACGTGCATGCACACGCAACACACAAAGAGCTCCTGGGGGAATTCCACAAGATGCGGAGAGATGAGCGCAAGTGAGGAGCATTGGCGTTGACCTGTTGTTTCTCACTGCTGGGCAACGTTTGATATCCACAGTGCTCGGCTTCTCTTTTACTGCAAGGCAACAAAGGGGACATTTATACCACCCAAGGCGAAAGCCATTCTGCTCTTAGGATCCCTTACTAATACAGAGGAGCTGGTGGCAGAGATGTCCCATTGGGAGCAGCTAAACACAGCCTGGGGCGGCACTGGTTCCGTTGGGGTGTTTGTAGCTCGCAGTCTTGTTAAAGCAACCTCTGGAAGTGGAGTGAAAGAGGGGTGGGATGGGTCC